AGTTTACAGCATTCTTTCATACAGTAGGCTATATGTAGACTGAAGTCTTGTTCTTGGACCTCTGTGCAACTACTTCGTAGGTAGTGTATTTGTGTGTGTAATGGTTGTTTTGCAGGGGCAGATAGTAGTATGAATCTCCTGTAGTTCAAAAAAATTTACACCGATTGGCATCCCACCATTTTAGCAAAATTGAAACGGGCAAAGTGTGTTAATTTACTGAATGTTTCCGTAGAAAGAGTAAATAGAGCAAGTGAATTGGAAATAGTCCTTTGTTATTCAAATTATGATGGTGTTTGCTGGGTTTTTGATACCTTGACCCAGAAATTTCTTTTTCATTAGAAGATGGGCATTAGGACAAAGTAATATCTCAATCTTAAAGTAACTACTAGATATGTATTTTGGTAGATGAATTGGTGTAGTAATCAAATACAAATGTTAGTAGCATTACAATTTAGTTTTACAAACTAAGCCTCTAAGAAACTAGCTATCAAGCCATGAAGGCCTTAGTTTTAATTTCAAAAAATACCTTTTGTGCTTCATTCTCTGAGGTGATTATTTTGCACAGAAGTACTAAAAATGTTAATGCTTCATCTAAAAGTTCTGCCTTTTTAATTTGAGACTCTCCATTAAGGGGAAGAGTGAAGGTAATGCCATAAATAAAATCAATTAAATACCTGTACTGTATTGTCTTAAATGACAGTAAAATGGCATTAGATGGTTACAAAGTGTTTTGCAGAGACTGCCTAGCTAAAAGGGCAAAGCTTACCTTTCTCAAGTGACAGCAATCTTGAAGGCCAGACAATGATCATTGTGCAGTCTGCAAGCTATACGCAAAGAATTTTTAAGTAAAGTTTTCTAAAGTTATTTTTAAAGTGTGAATGAAAGATCATGTTGTAGTCTTAATGTATTTATCTTAATTTAAAAGACCCTTTTTTGACTGTTACTAGGTTCTTGAAGTTAATGTGTTTAGTAAATTGTTACAATAACATCATTTATCTCATTACTCTAATAACTTTTCAGAGCTGTGAAATTTGCCAAGAGCAATTTGAACAGTATTGGGATGAGGAAGAGGAAGAGTGGCACCTGAAGAATGCTATCAGAGTAGATGAAAAGGTAATCTGATCATACTTACATGTGATACTTATTTATAGTAAAACAACCCGAAGAATTATAGCAAAAAAAAAAAGGGGGGTGCGGAGGGAGGGCCAACAGTGCTTTCTCTACTGACACATTCCCATGGTAGTTTTTCTGGCTTCCAAGTACATAAATACCTCAACCTTCGGAAGCGCTTGAAGTCCTGGTATATCATTAGTATAGGGTCACTAACCTTCCCTTATACTGCAGTGCTAAAATAAAAATGAATGTCTCTATATATGGGTGTAGATATTGGTTCAATTATTTCTGTATACAGCTGTACACAAACAATTCCCAATGCTTACCAGGCTTTTGTATGATAACTTTTCCTAAATAAACATACACAAAATCTTTTCCCAGTTACATTTGACACCATACTTGGCCTGCTTATTCCATTGTTTTTCTAGACAAATTGTGTGATGTGTGTAATTGACACTGTTCTGTTCATAACCAGTGATCCTGCTATAATTTATGTATTTAAATTTTATAACAATTCTTTTTCAGATTTACCATCCATCTTGCTACGAAGATTACCAAAACGTAAGTGAATCCTTCTTCATATTCTTTGAAGGATTTTGCTTTCAGTTTGTTTGCTTGATCTCTGACTTTGCAGGGAGCAGATGTGTTCAGAATGTGCTACCTGTTTCTGTTGCCTATGACTAGACAAAGAATCGAAGGCTTTGGGCATAGCAAGTATATAATACAGAATTAGCTAAGATGTATTTCTTGTTGTGATGTACTGTGACAGCTTGTGTGTCATACATGACTAAAGCAAAACCATGGTTTGAAAACACATCATGCATTTATTGTTGAGTAATGTGCGTAATCTTAGGAATTTGCAAAAATGGAGTAAATGGGTGTTGGTGTGTGTTACATTTTTAAGGCTTTGGGAGTTACCATTCCCCTGGGGATAGCAGGGAATACTTTATGGTAATGTGTTAAGCATTTCATCCCTGCTTGGATGATACCCTTTCAAAGTAATTGTGAAAAAGTAATGCTATTAAAGAATAAATCTGTTTTCTTAGGATCTTGATAAAGTAGAAGTTTGGATTTTTTAGTGCTTGACTGTCAACTTGTTTTCATTTTGAAAAAGAGTAAAAGGGATAAGAAGCTAAAAATCGTTGTTTTAATGTGTGTTAATGCTACATTGACTTTCACTCTGCAGACATCATCATTTGATTGCACACCATCTCCCAGCAAGACTCCTGTAGAAAATCCACTAAATATAATGTTGAACATTGTTAAACAAGAAACACCAGAGTCCTGCGACTCACCTAAAGTCAAAGAAGAACCTGATGACACCCCTACTGCCTGTGCAGAAGAGAGCACACCTGCATCTACAGATATCAAGACAGAACCTGATGAGTCTGTTTAAATGAACTGAGGTATGAATTCTTTTTTTTACAGAAGAGCTGCTGTGTTAACTCTGGAAGGCAAATACTTTTTATATGAAATAAAAATGTTCAACTGAGGCAGGGCCTCAACTACTGTTTGGTTAATAAATACATTTTTGTATTTGAATTTCTTATTGCCTGCACAGTTTCAGGTGTCATTGTGTGAAAGTTCTGTAGATGCGTGAAAATTTAATGGAATGAAATGGTATATGTAAAAATGTACGATTTTCACTTGTGGAAATGTAAATTATAAATAAAAGATATTTTTGCTATATATGGAGTGTAATGTTTATGCACACCATCAAATGAAGTGTTTCTGTACTTTTTTCAGTTGAAATGGAATTAAAAAGAACTTTTGCTCAATAAGATTCAGAAAAATGCTGAAAGCAAGTAACTTCCTCCAGTTATCCCATAGGTGGGTTATCAAGGGAAGCAGTGCAGGAGCTTCTCAGACAGACAACCGTACATTTATTTTCTTTTTAAACTTATTTGAACAAACTCACATATCCAGATATTTAAAAAACAAACAAACAAAAAAAAAACAAACCAAAAAGTTCTGGGTAGAAGGGGAAAATTTAACAAACGAACTGGAGTGCTTGATTGTGAACACAAGTGCCAACAAACAGTTAACAAACCAGGATGCCTGGTAGTTAAGACATTTTTAATGATTTTTTTTTTTTTCAATTAGTCAAACACATAAGAATTTAATACAGCTGAACAAACTTTCTTTATGTTACAGGGGGGAATGAATGTAAGAATGCTCATCTGAAACATGGTTAACAGGTTTTTTTGTTGCTTATGACTGGACTTAGATGGTAAACCAGATATCCTGAGATGTTAATATTTCTTAAATGTAATAAATAAAATTAAGCATATATTTGAGTGTCAGTCTTTTCCTTTCAGTAACGGGTTTGTGTGGCTGGCATGTTTGTGGGATTGGAAATAACCATACAATTGTGTGTCTGAGAACAATACGCATTTAATGTCTTATTTGCTCTGCCATGTGTTTAGTGCATATTTTTAAAGCTGCTGGGAGCAAGACAAGCACGAAAAGTCCAAGAGCAATGTCACAGTCCTAGTGTATTACTCTTGCAGCGGGGATACTTGGGGGATTGGAATTCACCCTTAGTGTATGATGTAAGTAGAAATTATCAGCTGTGAAGGTGATTTTGCTGTTGGCTGCAACACTTCTTCCCATCTTCACAGTCAGGCTTCAGGCAGTTTTTAAGATGTGAGTAACTACTTGACTCTCCTATTAAGGTTGTAGCTATAGTTGTGAGTGTGCCCAGTTCTAGATGCCAGCCTTAAAAATACCTTTCAGAGGAAGTCTAGAGGAACGAAAATACTTAGGAGATTGATGAGGGGTGAATCAGTCCTTAAGGTGGTGTGTGTGGCTGCTGGCTGTGCTGTGCTGCGGGGAGTTAACTCCTGTTACTTGTTGCAGCTTCTTCCCAGGGAAGGGACGTAGGCTTGGCCCCAATTGACGCTTTGTGTCCTGGAGTACTGCAAACTTCTGAATCATCCACACTGAAATTCAGAGGAGACTGAGCAAAGAGGTGATGCTTTTAAACATGTAGAAGGCTGTTAGAACAAATTACTCTGTCTCCGAGGGACAGAACAAAAGGAGACCAGTAAGTTGCAGCAGGAGGATTTATGGCAACTTTCTAATGACAAGGATAGTTAAGCTCTAAATGGACCTTACTTGGTCTGTAATTATCACCGTGCACCTGTAAATCTGATGGGGAAGGGTTCATCCTGCCTGGAAGCAGGACTCTGGAATGCAGGGTGCTTTTTTGTCCTATCAAAGGAACCCGGCTTCCCTCCCGGGCACCAGCTGGACTATGTAACCGCAGAAAGAAAACCCATCCCCTTGTGCAGAGAGGGTTAAACATACAAATCGTGACTGGAGTCTGGTTATCCTGCAGAGAGAGCATAAACAGGTTAAACAGATGGTTTCAGAGATGGAATAGATACTTGTTACACCTCTCCCTGGGGAATGCCACGAAGACACTAGCCCAGGGCTGTCAAAAAGGTGCCAAAAAGCACCACCCGGCAACGCAGGTTTCCCCGCGCCATCCTTTCCCTGCTACCCTGCCCCTCATGCGCTGCAGCCGTCCGCAGGCAACTGTACTGCAGCTTAATCGGATGCACCCCACCTCCCGATACGCCGGGCGGCCCTCCCTCACCGAGGGAGACCGGGCTCCGCCGCCCCGGCCCCGCGCTCTCCCCTCGCCCGCCGAGGCGCCATGGCTGCCCCTTCGCCGCCGCCCCGGGCGGGGACACGCCGCTCTCCCGCCCTGCCCGCCATTTTCCTGCCGCCGCCCGCCCGGAGGGACGGCGAGCCCGGGGGAATCGCGCACTGTGCCCATAGCAACCCCTCTGCGGCGTCGGGCGCAGGGAGGAGGAGGAGGAGGAGGGTGCGGTGACTGAGGCAGGCTCCCGGCGAGAGTGGCGGGCTCCCGGCCGCTTCTGCTGTGAGGAGCCGCCATGCCGACGGCCGCCGCCGCGCCGCCTCCCCCTCCGGCCGGTGAGACTGGTTCGCCCGCGCTCCTTCTTCCCCCCTGTCCTTCCCTCAGGGCTGGAGCCAGCCCCGGCTGCCCCCCCCCGGGCACCGCCGCGGCGGCAGCTTCGGCCCCACAGCGGCGCCTCTCCCGCCTGGGCCGTGAGGGGAAAGCCCCGCCGGGCTGCGACGCCATGGCGCGGAGGGGGAACGGCGCCCGCCCGCGGCCGCGCTCCCTCGGCTCTGGCTCTCCGGATTTGCCCGAAACCCCCCGTCTGTGACGAGGGGGCTCCGCCGGCACCCGCACGAAATGCCGAGATTGCTCAATATTCGCCAAACACGCGAGCTGGTGGCGTTATCCCCGCACGGGGCCCAGTAGCGCGGCCTGCGCCTGCAGCCGGGCTGGCTGGGGCTGGCAGCCTCCCCTCGTCCCCTGGAGCTGCTGCCAGGACGTCCTGCATAGGACTGGGGTTTTTTTTGTGTTACAGAAATACTGGAAAACCTAAAATTGTCTCTTTCCCCCGCTCTGAGCCATATGCTTCTTCGTTTCGTTTCTTTCAATGAACTGTGGGCAGGTACTCGTCTCAAAATGCCGTCTTAATTCTTTCTGCAAAGGAGTTCTCTCTTAGAACGTCCAGTGAGCATTTGATAACAGTTCTGATAAAAAATGGCACTAAAATTATAGAACCTGTCCTTCACTTTCAAACATATTTTTTTACAGAATTCATGTTAACAGCTGTTTACTGAACTTAAGTCCCAGGGCAGCTGCCTTTGGCTTGTTCGTGGTGGCCTGCGCCAAGAAGCCGTGCAACAGCACTTGGCGTCGATCTCCGTACAGTTACAGGTCTCCAGAGGGAGAAGGGAGACAAATCCACTCTGCTGGCAGGCCTTGTCATTTGCTTTTCTTCTGGATAAAAAAAAAATAATATGGATTACCTTGAACTTGCTGCAGTGGAACATTGTGTTAAACACATTAGTACATTGGCAAGTAGTGTAATTGGCCCGATCTTCCTCTGATGTAAGTCTGTATAATTGTGTTGAAGTCTGTAACCCTCACTTGGCATAATGAGAAATGGCTCCCTTGTGGGAAAACTATGTCCTGGTGATACTGTCTCTTTAAAAAAACAAATTACAAAACATACTTAGATATTATTTGGAAACATGAACTAGGTGATCTCCTGAGGTCCCTTCCAAGCTGAATTATTCTGTGTTTCTATGCTGCTGCTGTTTGTTCATACAGTATTTTGCACGATGGAGTCCCGGTTCCCAACTGAAGCTGCTTTGCGCAGGGCAGCAATCCAAACTGCTTAGCTGGGGGAGGTGGAAGTGGAGAGATACAGAGCCATGAGATCAAGTGGTGTGTTACAGCACGGGGTGTGTTACTGTCAGCCTGGATTACAGAAACAGCTTCAGCCCTCTTTTCTTCTCTGTGGCAACCCCAAATCTGCTTGAGCACTACTGTCACGCTACAGATCACATGAAAATAGGCACGGGTAAACTGCAAAGGCTGTTTTTGACCATATTTAGTAGTTTTTTACATGTATCACAAACATGTTCATGCAATATCTTATTTATATTCTTTAATATTTTTTATCTCAAATTGTGTAATGATTTTAACTACTACTACCATTTCTTCTCCGTAGGTGGAGAAGCTGAGGCACTAATACCTTAAGACCTACATTTTCATGCTTGCTTGACTTGAAAAACAGTATCCCACCTCTTCAAGACTTGACAGCGTGAAATCTAATGAAACAGTGTTAGTGCATTTTGGTACTGGAATGATGATGACTGCTCTAGAAGGTGATTACTAATTGTTTCAGGTTCCTCTTATGCTTGGCTATCTTCAGTTAGCACCCCCTCAGCCATTAGATCTACTTACATATATTTCTGTTTACAAGTTCTGGCAAGATATCAGGATGCTGCAAGGGGGTTTGAATATGTAACGCCCATTGTTTCCAGTCACGTAGTTAATTAGTGGAAGGGCCTGAAGGAGAACACAAGTTATTTGATCCCATAGCCTGGTGATGGATTTTTTTTTTTTTGACCCCACTGCTTCTACATTTAGAGTTTGATTCTGTGCCACTGAGGTCAGTGAAAATGTTATTGACTTTGGTGGGAGCAAAATATCAGGCAGTTCTAGCAAGAGAGCAACACAGGATGACTAACACATTGTATAAAGAACTGCTTTTCTACATCAGATTTAATTTTGACACCAGTTTGTGTTGAAGCTGATCTGTGCAGCTCAGTCAAGAGCAGTTACGTGGTATGCGCACTTGGTGAAGGCTCTGGTGCCCTTCAGTGTGATATGCCATGCTGTGCCAAGTCCTTAGGCAGCCATCAGTAGGAGCATGGCCATGTGGAGCACCTGGGAAGTGATGGCTGAAAGCTTCTTGGTCCAAGTGAGAAGCCTCCCTGGTCTTGTACTTGAAAATCTGATTAATGAGTTTGTGATGCCTACGGTTCTGGAAGAGAGCCAGTGTTGGGGTGGACCTGCTGCAGCATTTGCATACATAGATGGAGTAGTTGTGCTTCCTGCTGTTGCTGTGCTTCTTGTCATCTTTCTTCTGGGTCTTACTCTTTTGGGCCTTTTTCTGGGGCTGAAGGGGGCATGGCTGTCGCAGTTTTTTGCATATTGCTCTGTTTCTGACAAACAGAAGAAGTAACTTCAGATCCCTGCTGATGGGAATCTCAATCTCATACATTACTCCAAACATCTTGGTTGGTTCCTGTGAAGCTGACACTTTGATGTTTCTTTGATTCATCACTTATTTCCTCTCTCTTAAATGTTGCTGAACTGACTAATGCCCTTTTCTTATTCCTCAGTAGCTGTCAAGAAGAAGCAAAATTGTACTAGTGTTCACGAGGCAGTGAAAGCTGGTGATGTAGAACAGCTTGCATCAATGATAAAAAGTGGAACTGGTATTAATGAGGTGGATTTAGTCCACAAATTCACACCGTTGCACTGTGCTGCACACTGTGGAAGTCTGGAGGTAAAACATTATGTTAGTGTTCACACACAGCAAGGTTTTTATAAGTTAATGTTTTCCTTCTTTGGGAAAGGCTGGACACAAACCTGCTAGCTTTGGTCAAGCTAAATCAATTAATCTCTGCCTGTATTTCTCATTAAATATATTCAACAAGAGCAGAAATACAGTGTTTTAGGTTTTCATTTTGCCTTTCTGAAGCCCCAGGCAGTTTATATAGTCAACGTTGCCAGATTTTACAAAATCAGTGATTTTCTTACTCTGAGCAAAGTGTGCCCTATGGTCTTCCTTCTAGACTCACGACCTTCTTTTGTCCCTATTCTGTTTTCCCCTTCTCTTGAGACACCTAGAACATCCTGTAGGATGTGTAAAATATTCTGAAGGTGATTGAAACAGGTGAGAAGTGACATGAAAACATGTTCATTCTGTTTACCAATGTCCTGTCCCATGCCTCATTCTCTATAGAAACAGTCCTAATACATTTTATTTTAATAAATGAAAACGTTGAATATTGATGGAGAAATCAGCAGGTGCTTGCATGAATGTTTTGAACGTCCAGAAGAACTAACTGCTGTATTCAGCACAACGTTCACCTTCTTGTTGCAGCCTCCTTGTACAATCTTTGAAGTGATCTAACCTTGAAGCAACAAGGCCATGAATAACCATATAAAAATTCATGTCCCAAAGGAAAGAATGTAAAGTTCTTGCTTGACTCAAGAAATACTAACTGCAGTGCTGTTTCTGGAATGTACAGAAACTGTCAAGAAAATGCTGATCATCATGTTGTCAACCCTAAAAATAGATTGCTTACCCACCCTTTTCTGCCTCTATAAATTCTGCCATTTTTCATTTGACTCTCTGACTTTGTAATCAATGTATTAGACTTTATTGAATTATCTGTCATCTATTTGTCGCTAAGCTCCTTGGTGGAAACAGTGGAGGAACTGGAGCTGTAGGCTGACCTAAAAGAAGATAATAAATCATAATAATATGTAATAAAAAGTTTTAACTGGTCCTCTAGCTGTTTTTGGATAGCCCATGAAGCTTTCCATTGCAAGCAGTAATATCTGCTGAAAAAAAAGGTGGATAAAACAAAACTAGGCTGTGGAAGGATGAGAAGAAAAATGGGATTACATATGCCTAAGGAGCCTAATAAATTAAATGAGGCTTTAAATTTGTTTCATGGTATTTTTCCTGCCAGTAATTTTAGCTGGAATTCAAATGAGCATGTTTGTGTTGTTTTTTCCAATGCTTTTACCTCATGCCATGTGAATACTCTTACAGGTTACATTTTCAATCTGGAAGAGTAAAATTAAGAAGCCATACTCTAAAATCAATGCTAGAGTCTGAATTAGTATGTTATTTGCACTTTTTGTACCCTTGGGTGAAACCTGGAAAGTATAACTTAACTGTAACTTCCTAATGCACAAGTATCTGGCTTAGGCATGCTCTGGGGGTGTCATATTTCCATAATGAAGTATTCTGATACTGTTTTGAAATGTAACATCAACTGATAAATTATAGTTAAAATGTGCCTCAGATACATGATAGGATAGTTAAATAAAAAACTTTGGTTTTGGTTGAGCAGTGCCTTCACTGGTTGCTGTGGCATGGAGCTGATACAACACATGTAACTGTCAGAGGCTGGACAGCAGCTCACCTTGCGGCTATCCGAGGTCAGGATGCTTGCATGCAGGTATGTATAAATATTCACTCGAGTGAAAGTAAGTAAGGCAGACCTTCAGTTTGGACAAATTCATGATGAAGACCATCTGAGAGAGCTCCTAATGGTGCTATGAGTATCTTATCTTGATGTCTTTACATCTGGAATCAAGTCACTCTTGTTAAAACCAGTGCACTCATTTGTGCTATCTGCTTTTTTTGTGTAGTGTCAGGGCCTTGAGGTCAGCCCAGAGTTATCCTCCTGATCATCTCAAGTCATCCTGCTAGGCAATGTTTGCTTTTTCAGCTTGTGAACTGAACTTCTGCTTTCCATTCCTTTTAGGCTTTGTTAATAAATGGAGCAAATGCAGAAGCTCAAGATGATCGTGGGTGCACTCCGTCACACTTAGCTGCAGCCCATGGGCAGTCTTACACCTTACAAACCATACTGCGAAGTGGAGCGGTGAGAGGCTTTTACCCACAGTTCCCTAGTGCAGAGCCAAAGTCTGGTATCTTTCCAAACAAAACTCTCCCTAGCTTAAACTGAGAAGTAGGACTGTAGATTAATTACTGTTGGTGACTTTATTTTTAGGGTAAATTTCCATTTTTTTATTGTAAGATACATTAGGGAAATGATCAAAAAATCTAGAGAGAATCAATAATGTGAGTAAACCACATTCCACTGAGGATGTCATTAAATGAAGATCAGGTGCTGTGGTGGTTGTGATTTTTTGCAATTGTATGAACCTTCTATAGCAAAGCAGACATAAACTTAAAAAAAAAAAATTATTCCGGATGCATATTTAAGTAATAATGACCATTGCAGTGATAGAACTATGTCTAAAAATGCACCTTTTATATGTGTGTTACTTAAATAAATCCAAGAACCTGTGAAAAGTACCTATCTTGGAATGGGAACTGCATACATGGCAGGGACTTTGAAAAACGTTATTTGATTTGATTTAAATAATTTAACACAATGAACAGCTGATTGCTATTTATAAAATTGTCTTGTGTCTAAGATTCATTAATGAACGAATTAACCTGCTGCTTTTATTTTAGAATGTAAATGTTTCAGACAGGAATGACTGGAAGCCTGTTCATTATGCTGCTTTTCATGGTCGCTTGGGGTGTTTGCAGCTTCTTATTAGATGGGGAGCATGTATAGATGATGTGGATAACAATGGAAACCTTCCAGGTATATCAGGATAACTCATACATTTTTAAACCTTTGGTTTACAGTTGCTGTGTTATGTGATAATTATAGCAAATTATAAGTAATGTACACTAGCAGCATTTAGTATCTGATTCCATGCAATCAACATAGTTATTCCATTTTTATAATGATGGGGGGATTTACAAAATCCAAAGTATTTATCTGTTGATGACAGTATCCTGTTCACCTCCTGCTGCTGCTGGGAAGGATCTGAGCTCATGGGTGCTGGAATAGGGAGCAGGCTGAGCCTGGTTGAGAGCGCTGCGTAGGTGGGCAGCATCTCCTATGCACGTGATGGAGCATGTGTGCCAATGGAGGTCACAGGAGAAGGGTAGGTGGAGCAGGAGGCAGTTTCAGCTGCTATATGCTCCTTTTTGAATTTGTGCCAGGCTTTAATGGCTGTGCCAGTGTGATCAGATTCTGGCATGTTCACATGCAGGTTTTTGTATCCCACTGTTTCTGAAATGGTTTGGTAAACTCCTTGTTCTCATTTACCTGTAATTTCTTCGTCTTGATTTCTGGAATGCTGGTATTTCTGTATTATGTGTAATCTTTACTCTTTTCACAATCATAAGCATAGTCGCCTTTAGCACAAAAAATGGGCAGTGTTTATTCCTTGCTCTTCACAGTTTCTCCAGTGTCCCTCTGCCTACCACCCCCCTGCCTCAATATCCTCTGTAAGTCAAATGGTATTGTTCATATTCTGGGTTTTCATTGCAATCCTTTCCCTTTTAGCATTTTCCTTCTTATGGTTTGTCACATTATTTGTTCCAATTAGCATATTATTTTTTCTGTATGACTTGTTTAGAATTACCTTTTTAAATCCCTTCTTAAAATCTTTTACCTTCTGTTAAGCACCACTTACCTCATGAACTGATACCTATGTTCTGTTTTGCAAACCTGGCTCTTGCATCCCAGCAGGACATCTGGTGTATTAGCAATAAGGGGTTATGATGTTAGGCATCCTGGTGGCAGTGTAGAAGGTAGCTTTATTTGCATTTGGGAACACTTCCCTGATAACAGACTGTTATGAAGAGGTGGCAAATGCTAGCACAGTTCTACTTAAATGCTCTGTATATACTGGTTAGTAGAAAATTGTTTTTCTTGTTATTTTGACATCTACAGAAGCTTGATCCTCCAGGCTTTGTTCTGTTTCATTTGATCGCATTATCATCCAAAGGAAAGAAAAAGCTTTGCAACACTGCTAGTAAAAGATTAATAAAGTGGTGTGATGTACAGATCAGCTTTTCCTCAGCTTCTGAAACGGCAAAGTGAACTTAAGTCATCTTTACATATTTCAGCTTCAAGATTAGCTGCACAGTGCTATAATTTTTCCTAACGGTATACTGAAAGAAATTTACTGAGGTTGCAATGCCATACACCTAAAACTTGGCTGCACCTTTTGCATGTGTGTGTTATAGTAGAGGCTTTAATTACCTATAGCATGCTAATTTGGGGGAAGAACTGTGGCTCATTCAGTGTACAGAATGGGCTGTGCTCATTAATTCAACATTTTGTTTTCTCTCTGTATTTGGTTTTTGGCCATATCCATGCTTCTTTTATTGTTCACTAGTTAAACCCGTTCTAAATATAATATTAATTTAATTGTAGTGCAACATGTGAATTTTTCACAGACACTGTTTTTTACTTGTGTCTTTGAGAAGAGCGAATAGTGTTAGCCTGATTTTATAAAAGGCAAGAGGAAACACAGAGAAGTTGGGATGCCAACAGAAACTACCCACTGCCTATTTGTGATGCCTGAGACAAGGTTTTTCAAAGTTCTTGGCGCTAAGCTGCATATTTTCTGTCAACATCACAGTACCCTTTGGCTTTAGTCTCAACTGCCAAGTGCTCAGCATGCCCGAGGATGGTACAGCACAGTTAGATGTTGGGCACTAGGTACTAAGAAACACACAGGTTAAAAGCCACCTATGAAAAGCTCCTTTATGTGTCTTCTACAGCATCCCACTGAAACTGTGCAAAAAGACATGGACAGAATACAACTCTTTAATCTATTTTCTCCTTGCTATCTTTGCAGAAAATGTCGAGCTTTTCTGACTGCTTTCTGCACAGGACAGACATCTGATTAAAAAAAAAAAGTTTCATCCCAAAAGATGAAGTTTCATCCCTGAGATTTTAAGTATCTGAAAGTGGATTCAGGAGGGTTGAGGCAGTTTTTCACCAGCTGACTAGTAATCAGTACTTACCTTTAACAAGGTGCCTCTTCTTCTCACTTATCCCTGAGTAACTAACTCACTGAATAAAATTAAGACAATGGGAAAAACTACCCTGATTTCAGTGAAGCTCAGATTTTGTTGTGTTACATTTTAGCAATCATCTGTACCTAAGTATTGTCATCTTGCTGTAAAACCAATATCCATCACCTTTTAGAGCAATTTTGCTCTGGAAAGCTGTGGATGGTTTGCAATCGAGAACTTGAATGTGCCAAGAATTAAGTGACATGGGGTTTTTTTGGTTCTGGGTACATTGCTTATAAGTTGTGAAGATAATGAGATTCTTACCTGGAGACAAACTAATCCTTTTGCCTGTAGAACATCAGCCAGCTTTTACAGAGCATTTTCATGGAGTGATAACATGTAATAAGCATTTATTTGGCAGCTTCTTCCCATTAACAGGACTACAGAATACTACTCATTTCAAAATAATGAGCATGTGTTTTGTACATCTTACTTTGTTATAGACCCAACACTCTAGTAGTATTAAATAATTAAACCCCAGCGTAGCCTGAAGGACAAGGCAGGAAACACTTGACCCCCGCAGGGAAGCAGTCATTGCCATGGTGAGGTTGAGCAGCTCCTGCACACAGCAACTGTCTACAACAGTTGAAGGAAAAAACATATAATAGAAGTACCATGAATAGAAGCCTCTGTCATGGGATGTACCTTCAAATACTTTACCCAGTAAAGTGAATGTCACTGTCCCCATTTTACAGATGGGGTAACTGAGGGTGTGATGCAGCTCGTTTGTGGTGGCACAGTAGAGGTGGGACTAAAGCAGAAATGGCTTTAACTCCTAATCAAGGACACTGCTTGCTGGCCCTCTGTAATGAGTATCCCTAGGATGGGGAAGTCAGACAGCTGCTGAAGAGTGAGAGTTTTGTTTGTGGGGAAGATGAGACCCCAGCAGTGCACTCTCCTAGCTAGTGCTCAGTGGTCTCTTGGCAATGTTGTGTTGTCTGCTGCAGTCAGCTCTGCCAGGGAGTCTTCTTTGCACATCCTATCCTTGACAGCTTTCTTTTGCCTTCTTTGCATAGAGCTGAACTCTGTCCTGGTTAGGAGCTGAATGTCCCCTATTGAACTGAGGCTGCTCCTACTTGTTGGATGGCTCAAGCGCTGGTAGATGAGCTAGATGTAACTAGTGGTGAGAGCACTACTTTCTTGGTGGGCAGCAGTGCTCTGCTCTAACATACTTTGTTTCACCTTGTCCTATAGCTCATCTGGCAGCAGTGGAAGGACACTTGCATTGCTTTAAGTTCTTGGTCAGTAAAATGGCCAGTGTCATGCACACACTGAAAGCCAGGAATGACCAAGGAGAGACTCCAAGGGACTTGGCTGAACGGTTCTATAAAGATAATATTCTGCAATATATTGATGGTGTGGAAAAAGAGGGGGAGCATCCAGAGGCACAGGAAGGTGAGTATGGATCCACATACTGTTAAAATAGGCATTGTAATTCCATAGAAATGCTTGATTCTGAAAACTTGTATGAGCAGAAGTCTAACATTTAAATTACCAATATAAGGAAGAGCTGTTCTTTTCAATGCTTACTATGCTTACTGATAGCTGAAGACTGGGATACTCAATGTGATTTTATAAATGTCTTGGGTTTACCCACAATCAAAATAAAACTTGTCACACTGTGTTGCATTATGAATACCAAGTGATCCATGTTCTTAGACTCCAGCAGAGATCCAGAAAAACTGTATAATTTTAATGAGTTTGCAGATTTGCCTGCTCAGAATCCCTTACTTGCATTGAATAGCAACTTAGCCTGGAAATGTTCCACTGAAATTAAGGTTACTTGCTAACCAGCAATACTACTGCAGTCAGAACAGCTGAAGGATGGAAGTGTGGCAAGGTCTGTAAGGAGAACTGCACCTTCACCTCTCTACTTTTTCTAGGCACTTACTGCCCTTATCTGCTAGTCTTTTTTCATTATACACATATGTATATATGTCAGTAATCCCTGTCTATAAAAAATAACTAGAAAAATCAAATTATATGGGTAGTTTTTAAGCAAGAAGAAGTAAAATAGTTTATATATTTGGTTAGACTATGGAATTCAACAGGCAAACGACTCCAGTTAATACCAGTCATACAACATCAACTGTAAAACAAAGGTATACTTGTTATTTCAGGTTTATGAAATTAATCTCTTAACTGTAGAAGATGCCTGTAGCCATAACCAAGACATGTTTAGTCAAGTCTATGATGAACAGTGCTAGTTATCCAGCTGCATTTTAACTGGTTAAGGGTGCATTAACCTTGCTAAACACAGCTATGAAGTGACTGTGCGTTAGTTGCTATGAGAGGCAAGATGTTAGAGACAAATACGAGCATGTTTAGTGGAGTTACTGGCATCTGTTTGGAAACATGTGCATTTCATTTTCAGTTTTAGCTTTCCCAGCTCATTGCGCTGCTTTCAAAGGGGATTTGTTAGTGCTTAGAAGATTAGTGAGAAGTGGAGTAATCAATATTAATGAGCGGGATGATAAGGGATCCACTCTCATGCACAAAGGTCAGTAATTATGATCTGTGTTTCAGCTTGTTACTGTTTGTTGCTGACTTGTTTACTTAGTTTTTCAAGTGGCTGCTCATCAGATAAACGTCATGAAAAACAGCATCTCATTTCCTGAAGGCTTGAAAGGGCAACCCTGAAAAACATATTTTGTGATGTATGTGCGCGTAGGTGTCACTTTAAAAACAAAATAACCAAGCTGAAGTAAAGAAAGAAGAGCTTATATTAAAGAGGGAACAACATCTGAACTGAAAACTAAATAGTTTTCTTTATCAGGCAAAATGTGACTTTTAGAAACATTGGCAAGCTAGGTATAAGAATGATCAGTATTGTGGCCTGGGCCTTTACTTACTGAACATACCAGTACTGTGGAAATGTGTTGTAAAAACCACAACAAAGTCATTTGGTAGGATACTGTGAAGGGAGGTAAACTTCTGGTATCTTGATATATACCTTGATATATAGTGGAGTGCTAGCATTACAGAAAAATGGTCCCCTTGTGTTTGGGCGGTTTCATAGTAATGCCTGAAAAGAGAAATAGGAGAAGAAAGAGGGAAGTATTTTTGTAATATGCTTTTAACACTATTTCCCACAATTCTTTTTGACTAAATATAAATGGTAGAATTTTTAAAAACATAATTGAAGTTCTCATTAAAAAAATTGATATGCAGGGATTTAAAAAATGTTTTCTATATTCTTTCCCACCCTCTTTTCTTGGAATGGTGCTAACCTACAATTGTTTCATCCCCAATCTTTACATGCAATGTTGGTGTTATGGGGAAATACTACGGCTGATATTGCAATTTCATTTCCTTATCTCAGTGAGAAAACAAATATGGCAAACATCCGAAGGGGGTGCTGTCAAGAAATGGATTTATTCTTTCTTGAGAAAAACAGCTTGCAGGTTTCAGCTAGACATGCCAAATACCATCTTCCATATGGAAGACATCGTTCCTGGCACCACAGGGTATGAGCAGTAGCCATGCCAGATCATATGACTAGGCAAAGCTCTTGTGTTAGGCTGCAGCTGAGAAGTGTTGCCTTGAGGGTCTGGCCGGAGAAATGATGTACCTATAGCTCTAGCACAAAGCCCTGGCTTCTCTCCTCCATGAGACAGCGCCACACACCGCAGATTGGGGCAACCAGCTGTGTCTGATATAAGGGAGCCCAAAGCCAGAAAGAGGTGACAATACTTTGCTGCAAATCTATGACATACAGGCCTTACTGCAAGAGAATGTGAGGCAGCAGTTTTTTGTGTGTCTCATGCTCAGCGCATGAGACTGGGCAAGTTTAGTTTAACTTGTGTCCAGGAAGAGTTGCCAGTAAATTTCTGGAACTAGAAAGTGTCACAAAACCACATTGCATGATCTTCCCCAAAACTGTGTGTACCCATGTGACTTCAGCATCTTGACGTATAGGCTTCTCTTGAAATAGTATCTCCCCTGTGGTGTCTTAGTGAACCCAACCTCTGGCATGTCAAATAATGACAAGAGGAGGACATTTTAGGTTTGAAACACTTCAGTTGTATGTAACTGACTGTCCTGGTTTTGGCTGGGATAGAGTTAATTTTATTTCTAGTTGCTGGTATAGTGTTAAGTTTTGGATTCAGTATGAGAAGACTGGTGATAACATACTGATGTTTTCAGTTGTTGCTAAGTCGTGTTTATGCTAAGAAGTCAAGGATTTTTCAGCTTTTCATGCCCAGCCAGCAAGAAGGCTGGAGGAGCACAAGAAGTTGGGAGGGGATGCAGCTGGGACAGCTGACACAAACTGGCCAAAGGGGTATTCCATACCATGTGACGTCATGCCCAGTATATAAACAGGAGGGAGTTGGCCTGGGGGGGATCGCTGCTCAGGAAGTAACTGGGCAAAGGTCGGCAAGTGGTGAGCAATTGCATTGTGCATCACTTGTTTTGTATATTCCAATTCTTTTATTAGTATTGCCATTTTATTATTGTTATTATTATAATTTTTAGTTTCTTCCTTTCTGTTCTATTAAACTGTTCTTATCTCAACCCATGAGTTTTACCTTTTTCCTTCCAGTTCTCTCCCCCATCCCACTGGGTGGGGTGGAGTAAGTGAGCGGCTGTGTGGTGCTTAGTTGCTGGCTGGGGTTAAACCACGAGACTGACTTGTGTGCACCTTCCTTCCCTTAGCTGCTGGACAGGGACATGTCCATTGCTTACAGTGGTTGATTGAAATGGGAGCTGACTGTGACATTACAAATGATGCTGGAGAGACTCCAAAGGATGTAGCCAAGAGGTAGCAGTACATATCCTGTAGCTCTGTCATTTATTTACTTACTATTTATATATCAATGTAATGTCAACTTTGTTGGAATTGTGGTTTTCAGTGATGGAGCGAGAACAGATCAGGCCCATAAATTCCAGCTCTGAGTGATAAGCAAAGCTGTATTGTAGCTATAAAAGGTTTTAATTTTCACTTAATTTAATTTTTTCTTTTTAGCAAGGTCAGACATAAAAGATGAAAACTAGCTGATCTGCCAAAGGGAAGTTGTGAGCCAGTATGCTTATGGTTTGCTGTACAAAGTAAGTGAGAAGTAGCAAAGGCCACCTGATTTTTGCATTAATAAAAATAATGCAGTGTCTGATGAGATTCAATTAAGAAATCCTGCAAAGCAAAAGATACCTCTGATATAGGAGTCATTCTTATAAGATTCCATTGAGGCAGAGCTCATGCTATCAGAATACTACAAAAAGCAGATTAGCTGCTCACAGTTGTGTAGCAGTACTTCCTTTAATCCTGAAAGCCCCTCCGATAAATAGGAACATGAAGAGTTTCAGAGAGCTTCTATCACATGCATTTTTCCAGATGATGGTGATATTTCAGTGTAGGTTAACTGTTCTCTGTGCAGGTTTGCCCATCTGGCAGCTGTGGAACTTTTGACACGAAGAACTGGAGACAGTAACTCTAGTGATGAAGAACTGGATGCGAACAACATAAAGTTTTTTGAAAGACATGGTGTGGAAGGAAGTACAGATAGCAAAGAAGATTTAACACTGGATAAAGCAGACAAAAGGAATGCACGCAGTAAGCATTGTCTTTCCATCACTCCTTATTTGAAAAAGTTGGTCTCAAGACATTATAGTCCTAGCTGCACAGTTTCTGCCAACTGCTGTGACTTTTTCGTTGTAAGATGAGAGAGTTGACAGGATATCTGTACTACTGAGCATTCAAACAAATTGTGGAAAATTAGAAAGCATAGCAGGGGGCAATCAGAACATAATGGTTACACTGTTTTAAGCTGTGTTGGTGAAACCATGTTGGATTGCTACTTGTTTTTGAGATCTGTTAGCTGCATGGGTGTGGGATGTAGCTCAGTATTTGCCGAGTGGTGTGATTTCTGCTGTGTTTGTGAGACTGTTTTCCAGACTATTGGATTCCAGCATGACGTCTTCTCCATGCATTTTACCTACCTGGGGAACTCTGTCTTACAGTAAGGGCCTATCACAAGATTCAGGAACTTCAGCAACTTCTAGAAATTGCCTACAGCAACTATAGGCAGCTGGGAGGAATAACTGAAGAGGAGAAGAAGATGAAAAAAGAAGAAAGGGAAGTTGAGAAGTAAGGTTAATTTGCCCTGCTAATGTTTAACTCTGTGAGGCCTGTTTTTAAGGCTAACTTGATTATGCTCAAATTGCTTTGGCCATTCTGTCTTTTCCACTTAACAACTTTAGCCAGGCCAAAAAGAAACGGACTTCAGCAGTTTGTCTGACCATTTCTAAACTTCTACCACCAGGATCAGCCCCACAGCACAACGTGTGTTTGATGGGTCTACACTTCTTGTGCAAGATCATCTCTTTGGCCTTCAGGTTTTCGTGCAGCATAAGTGCAGTAGGTCTGATAAGTTCTGGCTGTTTTGTTTGCATTGAGGATGCCAAATACATGTATGCACTTTAATAAATCTGGAAAAAGGCATTAGTCTTAGCATGGCTTGGATGGAAGTGCATATACAGCAGAAATTATTCAATGACCTGCTACATTTCTGTGTCAAGGGCAATATATTTCCATGCTCAAGAAAGCATTAGCTCATATCCAGACCACAGAAAAAAGAAATCTCAGCAAACCTGCCCTTGCATGTGAAGCACTTTTCATAATGTCTGTCTAATTCTCAGGGTCTTTATTAAATGAAAAGGTTCTGTTAAATTGTTCAGGTGATTTGATGGGCAGACTGTCTAAGTTTCAAAGAAAAGCCTTTCTGTCTATCAAAGATTAAGAGCTTAAACTATAATGCAGCATCCAAAAGACAGCCCTGTCTCCACCTCTACCTGTGAAAGATTTGGCTACCCGCTGTTCTCAGTCTCTCTAGATAACCACGTCCGTTATGTGTTTGGACCACCCCAAACCACTGTCTTTATTTGGTCACTGAGAGGAGTCTGTATCCGGAGGGCTTGTATGCCATCAGGAAGACAACAGACTTACCAGTCTGTGTATATATGGAGCAGGTAATAGGTGTCACAGATTGGAATTAAAAGTAGTTCATTTTACCATATCTGAGCCAAGAAACTGAGGTCAGGATTTATTTTGGTTCCAGATCACCCTTTGACTCAGCCCAGGCTAAAAGTCCATCTTCCTTAACTTGGTATGTTTGCAGTGTAGATGTCTGCATCTGAGTTAGTTACCTTGAGCTCCTTTTTAGACTTACTGGAGAGGTGTAGGCACTTTCAGGGCATAATTAGATAGGTACTTCAGGATGAGATTCATCACTTCTAGAAGTGTTTCTCCTGGCTTTAAAGGAGGAGGGTGACCAGCTCAGATGTTGATGCCTATGTTGGAAGGTCAGAGAAATCTGTTTGCAATGATGGAAAAGTCAGTGTTGACTAATGGCAGAAATTAGAGTTCATTTTGGATAGAGCAGCTACTCAAAAGCTAGCAGTGCTGATTAGAGGGCTCTGCTAAGGGTCTTTATGGGATTTTGCTTTCTGTGGCATGTGCGGCTAAACTAGAAAAATAGTGAGGCTCTCTGAAGGGTCTCTCACCTGTGGAGGCCAGAAAGCATCCCTAGCTCCACACTGTCCTTTTGAAATGGAAATACTGCTTCTCAGCATACCTACTACCCTTCTCAGGGTACCCACCTGTGGATAAACCTCAAGACGCTTGTATTGTATGCCAGAAAACCTCATTATTTAAACATATTTAATGACAACACCGTTTTGCTAGATGAAAAGGAGGAATTGCCACTTGGGGGAGGCTACTGTAGCAGATTTTGAAGATTCCTGCTTTAGTCCATGTTTTCTGGCTAGAGGAGACCTGTTATGAACCACTGCGCAGTGCTTTGCTTTGACTAGGCTGCATTGCATGGAAAAAAATGCCACCATGTGTGTGCCACACAGTTTTAGAGCTGTGTCTCGTTAATCTGAAGCGTGCAAGAAGCCAGCCTGTGCCCCTGAGCACTGATTTCCCGGCATATGCACAGCCCATTTTTACAGTGTCGGTAAGGCTGATGATAAAGCCTAGTAACTTTGGGCTGCATGAGTCAGGAGTACTTTAGTCCGGGAAAAGCAGCAGCTCTTGCTGAGGTTTCCTGCCCTGCTGTTTGTATCCACAGGGCAGACATCTCCCTTTTCCTTTTACCAGTCTTCCATCTCTGTGGCTGTGCTAATTTATCCTGATACAGAGGAGAGCCAGCTCAACTCCACATGACTCAGTTGCTGAGGTCAATTGCTGTTATAATAAGAATATATGTGAATTATGTCTCAGCTAACCAGTTCCAGGAATTTCAATTAACTTAGGAGCTGCTGTGGGTGGGACCAATGAGATCTTGTGCAACTGTTTATCAGCCAGTGCTTCAGTTTCCCTTTAGTGTCATGCAGGCTGTCATTTGAGTATTCCTCATCTGTGGCTAAGCCAATCAATATGAAGGATGTAGAGGCACCAGATGTAAACGAAAAATCTGCCCCTGACCCCTCCAGAATCTCAGTTTTATGCTTTTTCTCTCTTTCATACTAGCCTTTTTGCTCCTCGGGCACATCTCCCTCTTCCGCAGCTGGAGATGGACCTGGGTTACAGCCTACCCAAGACCCTAGCGTCTGGCTCAGTGTGTGGGAAGACGTCTCCATCTCGTGGTCAGATTGAGCTGAGCACAGCTGACAGCGAAGAAGGAAAAACAGTTTAGAGCTGTTGTAAAGGGTCTTGAGGCAGGAGCACACTGTAGCTCACCCCAGCACAGTTGGCTTGAGGAGTACTGCACTGCTTTCTGTGGTGACTAACCTGTTCCTTAGGAAAGGCACAGGACCACGTGGAGTAGCCAGGGCAGGTTTGGATGTGCTTCATGCTCTGCTTGTCTCCTTTGCTTTTGGCAGGACTGTGAGGGAGCTGGAGGCCCAGCTGGAATATGAGCGAGTCAGGCGGGAGAAGCTGGAGAGCCAGCTGGATGACTACCGTGCTGAGATAAGCCACCTTAGGGAGAGCCTGGAGAAGACCCGCATCCCCCCTGCTGTCCCCGTGGTAAGTGCCACACAAACTCCCCAGTGCGTGGGACAGCGGCTACTGCCTGTTGCTTGTGGATGTATGTTCTCACTAAGATTCTCAGGCACAGTGCTAGCAAATACTGGAGTAAAGGTGTTAGGAGCTTTTAGCATGGGACACTGAAGTGAGAGTAGCCTTTGTCACATCCTGACAGAGTCTTTGCTGTGAAAGGATATCAGTTTCTCTTTGTACCCTGGCAGAGATGTTCATATTAACAAAAGGGAGTGGACTGATCCCTGAGTACTTCTATGCTGCATATACAGTGCCTGACAGTTCATCTTGGCTGGTACCTGGTATCTGAGACTGGACCAGCGCTTCAGGAGAGGAGTTATCACCACCTAAACGGTTACCTGGCCTGTGGGTGTGGAATCACAGCTGTGGGTTTGTAGAATTCTGTAATCCACAAGGATACAGAGGCTTTTATTCTCTAAATTTCTCTACTTTATTACAGATTACCACAAATACCACCAAGTAGGTATATACTATTACAGGCTACTACAAATTTAGTATTAGTGAAGCAAACTTACCAACAATATAACAGCTGATGTACTTCTGATTGACTACCTATAAGGATATATAATATCAGTATGAAGTGAGTTTGAGAGATTTTGGAAGGGGCCAAACCATCCCAGAGGGGAGGACAAACTGAATCCCAAAAGTGGGCCCAGAAGGCGACCAAGAAAATAACAGGGTCTCACTTCAAAGATAATCTGCATCACAGAGTCTGGAGTCAGCCAGGCATCCCAAATGAGAGTGCAGGATCTCGTAGAAAGTTTGTGTGGAGAATTCTCTAGTCACTGACAAAGTGGACAACTCAGATTTAACTCCTTCCTCTGCCTAGAGGAGCTGAGAATCCCCATCCCAGGGGGATGTTCTAACCAGCACAACATCTACTTTTCTGAGATGGAGCCATATTCATTCCCCTGCTCGCAGCTGTGCAGTGTGACCACTGTGTTTCAATATGCACTGGTCCAGGGGGAATGAGTGAGAGAAAACAGCTTTATAAGCTGATTATTAGGGCAATCATGCAAGAGGGGGGAGCTGGCTTGTGCTTCACATGAAACATTTACATATTTCTTGGAGGAGAAATTGGGTTGCTGGATAAAAGGGGTAACGTTACTGCCTTATTCAGCCAGGTTTGACTGAGGCCCAGGTGCTTGGAACGTCCCTACTGTATAATGGTCCTTTTCCAGAGTGTGATGGGGAAGAATGCTCCATGGATGCTCTGAGCAGGAAACAAACACTTAGAGCTCGATTTTGTTACCATTTAAGCTGTGTGTGGATTTGGCTGAGAGCAGAGGTGATGCCACCCCTCTGCAGCTGGGAGCAGGAGCTGTGGACTGTGTTGTGCTACACATCCTTGGAGAAGGACAGAGGAATTTCCATCCCAAGAATTTTAGTCCTTCTGTTGCTGTCATCTGATCCCAGACTAACACAGCATGGCTGTGTGTGCAGCGTGGCCAGATGGTATTCAATTGCTGCAACTCAAAGGAGCAAGGCCTTCAGGTTGCTACGGTGCCTGCGTCACACATTTGTGCAGGGTGCTGGCTTCACAGCTTACCTTCTCTCACACCTGTGTGTGCTTTGAGCAGTGCAATGTGGTCTGGCACAACCACACTGCAGTTCCTTCCATCTCTCTTCTACCCCCCCTTGCCCACTTTCTTCCTCCTGCCCCCCCCTGCAGGATTGTTTCTGCACCTTTCCTGCCCTCCAGGGCCTTTTTTCCCTTTCCTTTAGCCTGTGTCCACTTTCCCCACCGCCATATACAAGCTGTGATGCTCCTTCAGCTGTTCGCTTTCCACTGTATCCTTTGGGACTGGTCTTTTCCATGCTGCGGAGACCCTCCAGCCAGACAGGTGCCTCCACCTTGGAAGGAAAAGCAACTTTCTACTTCCACAGCTTGCTTTAAGACATTACTCATTCTAGTCCGCTGGCAGGTTTAAAAATCTAGGACAACTATGGCATAAAGTCCCCCATTTGTAAGGTGGAAGAGTGGCTGTTGTCAGTTTTTTTACCAGCAGCAGTCTGAAAAAGTCCAGTTGGGCATTAGGTTTACTAGCTGGGACTGGAGACAGCTTCTATTGGGGCAAGTTTGTTTTCAGAAACTTCTGCTCTGAGTGACTGCTACAACCAAGGGGCCTTCAAATTTTACCCTGCTGTGACTGTCATCCCATGCCCTGGGACTATGCTCTGCCCTCAGCTTCAGTTTAAACACAACATTCTGCGGTTACTCAAAGCCATGTACTTTTAAATCCTGTCTTATGAGGTAGCAGGTTTAAGTGATTGATTGCTATTTAATGGCTGCAGTGTCCTTTGTTTCAGGAAGCTGAGACCATCTCCAAGTCTTGCAAAGAGAAAAAGAAGGTAAAGAAGAAACCAGCCTGCAGCCCTGGAAGAATGTTTGTGAGACCGCGCTGAGGAATGAACCTCCGACAAGGGGCAGGCAGACGGAGGAGGTAGAATGGCAATATTCTACACAATGCAAAGTGTTTGCATAGCCCAGCTCCACAGATGACTTGTGGTTCTCTTCATTTCAATGGACTATTTTTTTAGTTCTCTGGGATAGAAAATATTTTTAAATCACAGCAGCAGAATTTTTTATTAGGGGGAGAAAAAAAAAAGGCAGAAAAACTTCTCTTCCTGTCCAGGTAGTAGTTTAGCAACAGCTGTGCAAATTATAAGGTGACATTTCAAGAGTTAACTGCAGCAATGTCACAGGGCCTCCTAGGTCAGAAAAAAGTAATCCCTACGGGTCTATTTTGTACTACTACCTTAGGAGGGGAAAAAACCAAAAAGCACCTTACCTCCTAAAATAATCAGATAGGACCTTCAGTGTGGAACCAGAATACAGTCTGTGGGAGAAGTACTTCTCAGCTGCAGAGAGGTGCCAGGCCCCTTCATTTTCATCTTCAAGTCATCCTAAATAAGCCAGGAACTGACTCCTCCGTGAGGTGCCAGATGAACCACAGTGGTGGGCCTCCGAGTCTAACTCGGGGCTGAAGAGTTCACTGGGCTATGGGGCATGTTGTGGTTAGAAACAGCAATCCTGACCTCTCCTCCATGCCTAAAAAACATTTCATGACTTCACATATAAAGATTTTTCTCTCATGTGTGCTATTGTGAAATTTTTTTCCCCTTTGGAACCCTCATTGGGCATAGTATTTTGAGAGTTTTGATTTTAATAAGAAATCCTTGCACCTAAAGGTTAATTTGCTAATGCTTGAATCCTTATCTGTCCTCTCCTTAGTCACCAAAGGAAACTTAAATCTCTGAGAATTTCAAAGGTACTGAAAAAAAAAAATCAATGTATTTGTGGGCACAGAGGGCAAGACACACTAACAGCATAAGCCTTGTATCAGAGCTAAAGAAGGGAAATTCAGTCTCTAGAGCCCATCAACATGTGGAATGATGGTGGTGAGAAGCTGCAGTAGATGAAGTATTTCCTACATCACCGCTGGTGCTACACTCTCATGTAGGAATGGTGCAAAAGATCAACCAGAGTCGGCGTGTCCAAAGAAGATCATGAATCTGGTGAAGGGTCTAGAGCACAAGTCTTATGAGGAGCAGTTGAGGGAACTGGGGTTGTTTAGTCTGGAGAAAAGGAGGCTGAGGGGAGACCTTATTGCTCTCCACAACTACCTGAAAGGAGGTTGTAGCGAGGTGGGGGTTGGTCTCTTCTCCCTAGTAACAAGTGATAGGGCAAGAGGAAATGGCCTCAAGTTGTACCAGGGGAGGTTTAGATTGGATATTAAGAAAAATTTCTTCCCCAAAAGGGTTGCCAAGCATTGGAACAGGCTGCCCAGGGAAGTGGTTGAGTCACCATCCCTGGAGGTATTGAAAAGACCGTGTAGATGTGGTACTTAGGGACACGGTTTAGTAGTGGACTTCGCAGTGCTCGGTTAACGGTTGGACTCAATGACTTTAAAGTCCTTTTTGATCCAAATCATTCCAATTATGAGAACCTCAGAAACGGTTATAACTTACAAGAAGATGGATTTGTAAATGCAACAGTTACAACAGACACCAGTAGCTGCCGGCCACCTGCCGAGATCCTTGCTGCTGGCACCCATGCCTATTTGACAAACACAGACAACAGAAAAAGCAGCCTCAACTCCCAATATAATAGCACTGTGCCTGTTGTAAAAGACACGTTTTTACAGACTGGTAATCTGTATTCAAATCTCTCAGTCAGATAGCAAATATAAGAAATTAATTTTATTTTCTTAAATGAAGATAATAAATAATTTAATGCACAGAATGTAAGAATGGGCAGGATAGCAGCAAGTTCAACTGTAAACAGAATAAAATTGCAATTAAAAAAATTGCCACTAATCAGTAATACATACTCTTCAGCCCATAAAGGGACTACTCTTACTAAAAGTTTAATCCAGGAAGACTTTTCTTTTAATTATTATTTTATTAAAAGAATCAAACCAAGCATATGCATCTGTACTCAACAAAGTGTAACTGCTTCAGTTTTGGAAGGCATCCACCTGCTATCTCCCATCTCTGCAACAAGAGTTGTGAAGTCCTTGTGAAAGGTAGAGGGGTCATCACCAGAAGTCAGGAGTGTCAGTGTGTCCCACAGGGTTACAGAATAGTCCGGCAGAGCGTGGAGATGGGAGGAGGACGACCACCACCACACTGGCACCACTGAGATGCTGAGTATTTCCGTGTTACAAGTCAGAACCTATGCCCCAAAAATACATGAGGGTTTATGGGAAATACTCTGCACTACTTGAAGGGAGGAAGTAAGAGCACTTATCTGCCCCAGGGCTGTACACAGTTGACGGGAGTGGAGGCATTTCCCCTTGGAAAGATAAAGACAGAGAAGTTCTCCCATTCTGTTGACCTCTGGGGTTACGGAAATTGCAAGAGATACTGAAAAAAAAAAAAATCTACGGAGACGTTTTAGTTCTACATGAGATTTTCAATTTATGTAAACCAGTTTTCAAGAAAAACAAGGATTCTTCACTAAAGGCCTTGGAGTGTGTGTTTATGTAAGTAAAAAACCCCAAAGGGCCAGGCTTCAGTCTGTCAGAAGAGAGGAACAAACTGAAGGCAAAAATCCAGATCCTATATTGAAGATTAATTTACTTGGATCAGAGTAGATCTGTTGGAATCTGGCATTAGTATTCCCATACTGGAAATATTAACTTGGGAACAGTATTCCCCTTTCAAGGCCATACCAAATGTTTCATATTTCCATTTTCGAGAGGAGCTGAGAGTGAGAACGTTCCACTGAGAATGTTCCAAAAAGAAAACTATTCTAAACCACTTTAGGAAACACTTTCTGATTTAGCATAAGAAGTCTTTTGATTTGAAATAAATACAATATTCAATAGGGGACAATGAAATATTACTGTTTGCTTCTACTTACCCCCCCCAGTTATTTCGATCCTTAGTGTCACATATTCAGAAAACATTTTTAGTGCACAGTAGGAATATCAAAACAAAAAGGTACCAAGGTTTTCTACAGCGCAAACATGATCATTGAACTGATGTTGCCTGCGTGGCCTTTTCTCCATCTGTATTTGATGCAGTCATTCCATTTAGATCTATTTCCAGAACCTGTAAAATCCCAGTGCTATTGCCAAGCAAGTGAATACCGAAGCTGTTAAAAAAACCAAACAAACAAAAGGGAAATAATTAGCTGAATGCTAAATTGTATCACCTTCTACATACAGGAAATTAACTGCAAACAGATGGAAGAATGATAACAACTATAGAGCAGAGCCTCCTAAACTTCCTGAATTGCTGTAGATGCAATAGAATCATTTTAGAAGACAATGACTTAGATGTAATATCCTGCACAGTAGCACTGCCCAGGTCGTGAGACAGGAGGTCAAATTCAGCAGCCTGAGTAACTACGCTGGATAATACAGAGCACAACAGGCTACAGTAACTTCTACTATTGTCACCCATCTATTGGAAATTGTATTACAGGAGAGATGGCTGTACGAGCTCTTGCCATTAAACGTAATTAAAATGACTTCCCACTGAACAAAATGACAAGGAACTAAGAATACACATATCTGACACAACACTAGGGTATCTAGGCAGCACCTCTGAAGCCTGATGAGTTGTCTTTCAGATTTGTTAAGCTGCTGTTTCAGTTAGTGTTAGAATAAAGCTAATTATGTTTCCCTTTGAACTTGTTCTCACTTCCAAAAATAATGCATCACTCTCTTATCCAGCTCCAATACAATAAAAATTTCACTGGTGATGTATATACTGAGAAGACAGTCTCAACTCAGACTGAAATTTATTCTGCTTGGCAGGGGGAAGTACCAGTACCACCACACTGAAACGATGTGTCTGTGGAGGACTGAATGGGAAATGGAACTGGTCACTCGCAGACTAGTCCCAAATGACAGCTAACTTTCAGGGTAACCTAAATGACCTCAGGAGAACTTTTGTAGCAACTCTGCCACATAAATGGCTGCCCCGCAGCAAGCAGAGGTACTGTCAGACTAGGCAAGGCATTTAGGCTTTTCTTTTTTTTTTCTAAATCATGTCCATATTCCTCCTAATCCCAGTTCTGGGCACAATCCTAGTCCAACTGCCCCAATGTCTGCATGCTCCCATCGCTTCTGCGTTTTATGGCACATTTCTTTGAGTTGGGGGTGTCTGTGTGTGCCTGCGTCCGTCTCCCCCACCCAAACCCAGTTGTCTGCTGCTACACAACTGACTTCTTGAATTCGCTTAGCATATACTCTTGAATAAAATTTTACACTTCCAAAATACAATACTGGTACTCACCTCCTTGCCTATCACATACCTGCCAAATAACGTATTGTATCAAGTTTATTCGATTCCATGAGTGTTTTTAAGGAAGCTATTTCAGTGTCAATTTTATTACTGATTTCTGAGATAACACTGTTGGTACTTGAATCCTGAAACATTAAAAGACAGCATATATTTGACAGTGATCTCTAGCCCTTTCAGCTTTGCAAAGCCAAATAAGAATACCACGCTACCAGCAACAAGAAAGAGAAACAAATTTCCAACCTATCACTGAAGTAAAATATGTAACTGGTAAGAGACTTTAGAAGACACAGAACAGCATTTAATACAATCCAGGAATAATACGGAAGAGAGAGAGAAAAAGAGAAAGCTCAGATCATACAGACATTTGTCCCTGATATGCCAGTGCCTCCTAAAGGGGGCATTCTACAGCGCCTAGATAGTACCCCATAATCTTTGCAAAACAAAGGCTTAAGCATTCACAAGCCATATCCAGAAAAGGGAGGAGATGCTGAAGATGGGACATGTCCACCTTCAGCCTCTTAGTCTTCAGCGCCCGCTAGCACCTTTGAGGACTTCCAGCCTTGAAATACTTGCTTGGCTGTAGGCACCAGAACCATCCCTCTGGTACAGCTGATCAGCTCATCTGTTAATACTGGGAAGGGCAGCACGACAGTGCACATCCCACCTGTAACAGCCTGCACGCAAGATACTTGGGAAGCGAGAGACAAGGCTAGGATGCCTCCTCCTGCCTGAACAGTGTTCAGTGCCAATCTCACAGGCCTAGGCAATAGACATGTACAACAGACACGAGTGATACAGCCCAGCCTTTTGCTTTATCACATTCAAAAATCTACTAACTTTCACAAAAGTTTGGGGTTTACATAATGTCCAATGTGTAACTGTATCCTGCTCAATATAAAATAGGCTTTGTTCAATACTTACTTTCTTATGAAACTCTGTAGTTGCTTCCATCAGTTTCCTCTCCTGATCTGTAAACTGTGGATAAAAGATAAATTACAACTGTAGTAACAGAAAACAAGACACAGAACTGGAAAGAGTATCTTGATAGACCAGCTTACCATATCCGTCACTCTGCTCCTTTCCAGGTTTATGTCTAGCTTGCTGTCAGCTCGGATTTTACCAGTTTCATTCTTTAAAGCAAATAAAGATTATGAAAATAACTATTTACTCTCCCTAACAGGAGTGTGTAGGTACTTACTGTTTACTTACCATTAGCTGCTGTTTAACTTGATCTAATTCAATCTTCATTTTCTAAGTGCAGAGGAAAAAAAAAAAAAAAAAATTTTACAAATTCAGAAAACTGCTGACCAAGTTAATCAGTCATGTAAGTGTTAATACCACATGCACGCAATTATTCTTCCATAATTTTTCTCCCAATGGGGCAATTTGTTCTTGATTAAATATCCTAACTGGTGTGTTCAATTTGTATAGCCATATAGAATCTGCTGGGAATTTTGCTCAAAATAAAGGGATTATTTTGTAACGATGATGATCTTGTTATTCTGAGACTAAAGACAGCAGAAAAATACCAAATGCTATTAAGCAAAAGCAAAACATGTCTCAATCACTGGTTTAATTAAATTGTTGCAAAGAAACAGCCAACTGCTCTCCCTGCATTCTATGGTTAATGGTGACAAGACTGTACCAGAATCACCCTTAAATAAAATTACAGAAGATGATTCTAAGATGTGTAGAATTTTTTTACTTTACAGAAGAACCAAGCAAGTCTTATCACATGAAATGTATTTTTCTGTGATCACAGAAGTTGTAATCTACAAACACTTCAACTCCGATAAAAGTATCCGGAATTACTTTTACATTCATATTTTGTTCCACAAAAATGTACAACAGGTATAACCCAACATATATTACAATTTAACTGCTTAATTAAAAATATTTATTAGTACCTCATTCTCTGCTCTCAAATTTGCAAATTCACTTTTCTCCAGGATGACCATATCTTTCCGAATGGAGTCCAAATGCGCCATTATCTGTTGTAAAGTTATTTCCTTCGAAACAATAAAACATGTTAAGTTGCACGCTTTCTGGCAAATAAAGGAAAGTAAAGATTTTTGGGTCTGAAATGATGAAATTAGCTACTGCAAAGCACAACAATGAGGAGACTTTCCAGCAAGAAAGTGACAGAAACACAGACTTTTATAGCTGTAATTTGTTTGAAAGACAAGAGGTTTTGGTTTTGTGCTTTTTCTGTTGCTTTTATATACTAACCCTGAATTTAAGCAAAAAACGCCAGTGGTATTAATCCAAGTAGCTATAAAATGAAATAGACCCAAAACTACAGGTTAGTCCTTCATCCTCTTCCATTTTCAATGAACGTTCAGTAGCCTATGAAGCATTAATTGTTGGTTTTAATCCAGTTCCTAACTAAGCACTTCCATTTCTTGCCCACAAAGTCATCAAAAGCCAAAGACTTAATGATACGAGTATCTCACTGTCCTCTCAGCATTACAAGTCTGACGGACACTAGTAAAAGATTGCTAAAAAGCACTGAAAAAAGCCTTCCTGGTGTTTGGACTAACGAGTTCAGAATTCAAGTATTTACAAACTACAGAGTGAAAAAAAAAGAAAATAAAGGAAGAAACTTTGTATTTTAGAATCTTGAAAGCAATACTCCTTTAGTTAGCATAAGGAAGTTACCCTACTATTCAGCATGGAAAATAATGTATCTCTGTGGGATTCTGCTTTTAAAGCTGAGTGCCAGCAAAATGAAGAGCTCTCATCCAGACTACAAGCAAACAGTACTTCTCAGATCCTACGCTGAACTAAATTCGTTAAAATATGCCCTCACCCAACTTCCACTGAAGTCTGACTACTTTGTTGAACACAATGAAGTTTTTACAATTCCTGGGAAAACTTCAGTTGCATTTACACTAAGGAGCTAATTTCCCACATCCCATCTTAAAACATTCAGTCTCAACACTGACTACACTATAAAAACCAGAACACAATTCCATGCAAATTATATTTGGAATACTGACTTTACACATAATAGGATTTCCAAAAAGAAAGATTTCCATTTTGATGAAAAAAAGAGACACACACAAGCTTTTGTCTTCTTCTGAGATTTATAGAAAAAAAGAGATAACTTTCATTCAGAATAAATGCCAGTAAGATAAAAATCTGTTGGAAGTAAGGCTCAGCAGTTTAAATAAAATAGCAATGAATGCTTAATTGCATTAACTCATTGAAGAAGAATGGCACCTAATCTCAGCTTGCACAGCCTTCCTGAGTAATTATTAAAACCATTACTGTGCATCAGAGCTCTATTACCCTGGCCCAGATGTCTAGCCTACAAGAAAAACTAAAGTTCTTTTTATTTTGGCAATTTCTTAAAATGAAACTTGTCACCACCTCTATTATCAGCGGAAAACCCAGACATGCTACTTCACTGATTCACTGCCTCCAGATACGTCCACAAACATGAACTTGAGTATCTAAGCGAAGAAGACACCTCAGTGCTTTGCTTGAGTGCAAGCTGAGGTGCTGACCTGGCCAGCGCAAACAGCTAGGTTTATACCAGCAACAGAATAATTCAGAGCCTACTTGCTGTCCCCGAGGGCACGTGACACACCACAGATTACATCCAGATGGCTAAAATATCTTCCTCCTAAAACAAGGTGGCTCTGACCACGCTGCCTGGTGGGAACAGTTCCTGGCCCTACACTTTCACATAAATTGTGCCCTGGTCAGGGAGATGGAGAGCTGGCACAGGTCAAAATCAAGCCAAGGCACCGCAGTGGCTCTGGACGACCATGTGGTGGTGCCTGAGCCCTCACCCTAGCCATGTTTAGCTTTTACTATAGATGGAGCTTTAAAGACCGAAATGCAGAGCAAAATAATGAAATAGTTTTAATAGTAGTTTTTAGTTTATGAATAGGAAAATAGGACAAATACAGTGTATCTCAGAAGAGAGTTGACATCCTTACTGAAGTTCAATAAAAACACCGACAATTTTCTGGTATTTTAGGTGGTCTTGTTATCTCTCAGGAACCCCTCCTTGACTCTCTCTTCTGCCCTCAACCATTGTAAAGCACAGTTAAAAGTTTGGTTTCCCCTCAGAGCTTTTCAGCTGCACATGAAGCGATCTCTGCGTTACATTTATAAATTGTGGCTGCATTTGGAAAACATTCCTGTGAGATGAAATGTGCAAGATATTACTATTCTTAATACCACCTTGAAACTTAGGAAAACCTACCTCCGTGAACTGTTTATAGTACTATAGAAAGTTGCTCACTTGTCTTTTAAATATGCAAATATGAACCATTATAGCTACACAGCGCTGTATATGTACACCATAGACGACTATTTACCTGCTGAGCTTGTGTAACCATATCCTTATAGACTGTGTCTAAACTGACATTCGACAGGGTTATTAATGCCGATACAATGGTCTCCGCTTGCTCCTTCCCAAAGCCTAAAAGACAGTTAAAGGATGACGTGTTAAGGTAATATTAAAAACCTGGAGGAAGATAAGAGCAAGAAGTACGTAATAAATGGGGACACTGAAGTGCTGTACCTAACTACAGTGGCAAATGGGAAGTCACACAGTTACTGAAAACTGACAGCGAGAAACCAGTCACTGTGACTTTTAAATAGAAAAAAACCAGACTTAACTCTGCAAAAATCTGAAGCACATTAACTTAATATACAGAAATAGTCTATGCATGCAGCTGACAGGAGGACCAAATTTCTGTACATTGTTTAACTGTTCATGCACTATAGAAATAATTCAGCAAAATTTTACTTTATAATGAACTTTTGCAAATTCTGTTAAAACCAAACTTATGTTGAGCTACAAAGCATGCGTCCTATAGAATAATAAAATTAAAAGGTAAGCCTGCATATATTGAAATTGTTCTGCACAAACGCACGCAAAACTCATTTTAAAACTGCTGCACCCATTGCCCGCAGAATGAACTCAAACTGGGATTTCTGCTTTCTGATGATAAAAATTACACTTTGTCCATAGCTTGGTGCAATTCTGAAGCGTTAAAGATGATGTGTGGTGAATAGTGAACCCCCCCCAGCTGCCACTTTAGCCATATCTGATCTAGTGCTGAGAGCTTTTGCCCTGAAGATTTATTTCCAGCAATCTCACTGATGTGTTGTATTTCAATTGGCCCATTTTATAAAGTGGGGTCAATTAATGTTTTGTTGAAAAATGCTTTCAAGGCAAACTATTTTGAGAAATATGCCACTGCTCCCTTCTAAAATATGGTATTGTCAAGCTGCAACATTGGTTTACATGACAAAAAAAAGCTATGCGTGCTTTATGACAGTCTCCTTCCACTAAGAGGTGTCACAGTATTGCTTCAGTTCCTCTGAATTTTCAGGGTTACTTAGGTACTATTTTGTTCTTCCTCTATAGCAGGAACCATCCTTATTGCATGGAAGTTTAGAAAATGCAGAGAAATTCATATAAGCAAGAGAATGGAGCCTGAAAACTGCCTGCAGCAAGTCTGAGAAAAACTAAATGCCTCTCTCACTTTTGCAATACTTATAGGTTTTGCCTATAGAGCCTGCCCACTGTAGTACTGAAGTATTTGTAGAAGTTATGAAATAAATTAAACTGAATAACAACACAGTGTACCAGCACCAGACAGACTTCACCCCAAGAGCTGTAAAGGAACCTGAGGAAGAAATAGCTGAATTAGTACTGGGGACAAGTAACATCTCACAAGTTACCTCAGTTACCCGAGGACTGGAAAATGGCAAATACAGTGTCAGTTTTTAAAAACAGTTCCAGAAGAGATGTAGGTAACTACAGGCTGACAAGTCTGATGTGCATGAAAAAAACCCCAAACATCATTAGTGGACTATTAGGAGTCTTCTAACTACTAATAAATATTATCATTAGACCCAAACAGTGGAAAAAATCCTAACATCAGATTGGATAAGGTTCTAACTGTCACTTAGGAGAAAGATCTTGGGATTTTAAAAGGTAGTTGCTAGTCTGATGAAGATATCAGCTCAATGCTTAGTAGGGATCAATAAAGCAAACCAAACCCTTAGGAATTACTAAGAAAAGGAGCAGAGAACGAAATAGATGCAAAGTTAAGTCACTATTCAAATCCACAGGACATTCAGTTGTCAAGTAATGCCAGCAGCTCTGTTCCCTCCCCTTTGAAACAGGATGCGATAGAAGTGGAAAAGAGTCACAGAAGGGCATCATGCATGGTCAAAAGTATGGAAAAGCTACTGCTCAAGGAAAAATTCAACAAGCTTGGATTCTTCTGTATGGAAAAGAATGATGAGGAAGTAGGACAGAAGTTTACATAATCATGAATGACATGAGAGATCAATTGTTTTCCGCACGTCAATAGCACTCAAAGTTATAGTACTTAAACTAAAAGTTTTCCTTTGAACTATTTATCAGATATCACTTACCATGGGCTTCCAGGTCCTGCATTAGAGCATGGGTATCAAAAGTTACCTTCCGCTGCTCCAGGGGAGTGATTTCAACCCTTCTGACATCATACGACTTCCTAACGAGTGTGGTGGCAAAACCTGGAAGTGACAACATGTGCCTTAAACTTAACCTGATTGGTTTATCATGCAATAAGCTAATTTTAATTTCTTTCATCATAGCAAAGCTGCACAGATATTGCAACAAAAAGCTGGATCCTTTTGATTGCTTAGTTGCGGCACGTGTCAGAAACCATCAATCCCTTTTCCATAGGAAATCTACACCAACTAGGACTCATATATTGAACTTAAGTCCATTTGTGTAACTAGGAAGCTGTGTAACAGACAAGCATCCTGATACAACAAAAAACCACCACAACCAATTGTTTTGTAATATCTGAGAAACATCACTTTTAGAAGATCAGCAGTTCTAACGTACTGCCAATTTCTACTGGCTACAGCTAACATCATTCATTTGGTTCTTCACAAAATCCATCAATCACATTCTTTTTACACTTTCTTCTGTCACTATCCTTTCCAGCAAGAAGAGTGCCATGTGTGAAGATATAGCCACAGTTTTTTTTTTTTTAGCAAGCTATGCAAATCTAATGTTCAGAATGAATTTGTTGGTTCACCAGGAAAGTAATTGGGAAACAAAGTGATACGGTGTTTGCGCCTAATACCTCAGAGATGGGTATTAAAGATCCACTCTATTTATTACACAAGTGCCTTCCCACAAGATGTTTCACTGCTTCTCCTACTTTATTTCAAGCATATTTTTCCCTTCATCTTATCTTTGTGGGGCCTTGCACATTACAGATTCTGTTCTGATAGAGTCTTTGTTATCTAAAAAGCCCTGTTACTTCTAAATCCATGCTTATTCGAAGCGTTTTGCACTGCTGGCTCTCTGCCTTAACCAAAATGTTGTTCTGTATCTTATCTAGACCTTTACCCAAAACCTTCATATCATTTAAACAACAGGGAAGTTATATTGTGCCACTGCTAAATAAATCAAGTTATGTGCTACCTTGTATCTACTCTAAAGAAGTGACTATAATGAAGCCAGCTGCAGTATCCAAACCAAAGTCTGCTTAAGATTTAAGAAACGAAGGAAAGATTAGTGTTTAAGTGTGTGAACACTGAATACTACGTGCAAATAATTTAAAATAACTCTAACATTTACTGTGGAATAAAATGTTCTTTTTTCACTGAGCCATGACAGCCTTTAAACACACAGCTTTTTGTTCTCTAAACGCGTTAGCGGATTTTTTTCATTGGATTGAACATATATATTGTAGAGACATTCCCTCAGAAAAGCTGATATTACAGCGTGAAGCTTTGGGTTGCCTAGACATGCTGCTCCTTCTCCTACCGATTCACTCCTCTATTGACTCGATGCACGGCTCTCGGCCCAAAGCTGTCCTCCAAATGAAGCCTGAGCCTGGTGAAAAACTACCAGCCAAGACTCTTAACAAACTCACCGACGTTTTCACAGACCGCATCCGAGACACCATTTCGCGACGCCTTTCTGCACCCCCTGGCTAACTCCCGTTGCTCCCCCCGCCTCAAACACTCTCTGTGCGTCCCCACAACCCACTCAAGCGACGGCTCTTCCCCACGTAACGCACCCCTGCCCTCCGCCTTGTGACAGCCCCAAAGGAAGGCGCTCTGTGCTCCCTCACACACCGCCGCGGGGACAGGCCCCCGCCGCCGCTCTCGGGCAACGAGCCCGGCCCGCCAAACGCCCGGCCGAGGTTACCCCCCACCCCAGCAGGCAGCCTTCCGCCCCCTCCTGCCCCTTTCTCTCCTCGTCCCCCGGGCCAAGGGGCCGAGCACGGCCCTCCGGCGCCTCTCACCTCTCCGAGGAACCGGAGGCAGCAGGGCCCGGCGCGGCAGCGGACCCGACCGGGAGCCGCCGCCGCCCCAGGCGAGGAGCGCGGCCCCGCGCCCGGCGCCCCTCATGGCGGCACAGGCCCACCACTTCCGGCGCCAGGCACCACCCGCCATCCCCACTGCGCAAGCGCCGTCCGTACGCCTTTCCGCTCCGGCCCCGCGGGGCACGCTGGGTACTGTAGTCCTCGGCCGCGGGGACGGGGCCCGGCTGGAGGGAGGCGGCGCTGCGCCGCCATGCGGAGGGGAGGAGCGGCAGCGGGCGCTGCGCATGCGCACGCAGCGGCCCTTGCCGGGCGCGCAGCGGGGCGGCCGCCATCTTGGTTCTCGGCGGGCGGCTTCGCGTCGTCGCTCGTCGTTTCTGAGCTGAAGTTGCTGTCCGCAGCCTGGCCGCTGCAGACATCAAGCGTTTCTCGGAGCTTGGCTAAGGCTGGGTGATACGCAAGAGGCTGATCTGTAGCAAATCAGCCGCAGCAAATCAGTCTGGGTTGGGAGGGGTTTTAGGCCAGCGGTGGCAGCGTGCCGTCTGGTCTGTGGTGCTGTGGCGTGTGTGCAAGGTGTCGATGCCTGTTCAGAGCCAAGATGAACGGGCAGAGTTAAAGCACCCACAGAGCACAGCGGGTAGAGGAAGAGGTAGGAGGAAAATCTGCAGACTGCTCCTGCTTGGAAAATATACAGAGAAGGGATATCCAGAGATAGGCTTGCGTCAGTGGGCTGGTCCAAGGGCTCAGAGATAAGCAGTGCTCTAACCAGCTTAGAAATGGAAAAACATCCTGGGTATCACACTGCAAATTAGAATAAAGGACACTTCACTTTGCTGCTGGGCAGCATGTGCACCCTGGGGAGGTTTGTCATAACGTATCTGGGTGAAACAAGTCGTGAAGGTGCCGTGGCTATTACTTGTGTTGCGCTGCGGAGCAGCGGCTAGGCAGCCTTGGGGCCAGCTGAGTTGCTTTTGTGCCATGTCAGCCTGATGGAACATCCTTCAGGTGTACGTGAGAATCCAGGACGGTGTGCCCAGTGTTTTGAACATTCCCCAAAGAGTGCTTAAACAGAAGTTTGAGTAAGACAGACTTCATAATCTAGCCCAGCACAGGAGAGCGTGTCAAAGACGTTCCTTGTAAGAGCCCTGATGTTGCTTGCCTTCAGGACACAATGATTTCTGGGCAGGCAGGGTGCAGAGAAAAAGCAGGCTGCCTACAAGCCATACAGAATTCAGAGCAATTTGGATCTGTATAGGTGCAGGCGTGGAGCATCCATACAACTAGTGTGAACAGGCAAATTCAGCTCTGGAGGCTGCAAACCTATTGACCAAAAATGCAGGGTCTAGTGACATGAGGGCTGAGCATTCACTGCAAACACACCATCCCAAGACAGACTTTGGGAGACGAAAACAGCCCTGAATTTCTCTTACATATGGACTTCCATGCCTGTATACAGAGTTAGAATTAGATTTTTGATGGAGAGGGCTGTGCAGAGTCTACGGGGCCCTGTTTTCTCCCAGCTCTATTTGGATGATGTGAGCTGCTCCTGACTTAGCCTGATTTCCCTTATTCTCTGTCCTGAACTTACTCTAGCCTCAGACTGCCATAGGTGAACCTCTCTAAGCCTGCCTCTGTCTATGTCCAAATATCCCTAACTTTAAATGCAAACCCAGCCCTAGCTCCAGTTCTGAAAGATGAAACTATAACTCTGGATCCTTGTGCTTTTGAACTCTGAAGCTTTCAAATGGCAACCAGTTTTCATTTTGCTCCCTATGACAGCAAAATGCAGATTTCACAGCCTCAGAATTTTTTTTCAGAATTGAATTCTTGCTTTTCAGTTTGTGCTACTTAGAATAAAATACATCAGGCGCTCTCAGACATCTGTTTCACTGTAGAAGTCCAGGGATGCTGAAGTTACGTCTTAAAATAAAAGTGCAGAGCAAAAAAGAAGATTGCTGGTGGTACTTTTTAGAAAAAGTTCTAACTGAAATTGTAAAGTTTAAAAGCCATGATATAAGACATCTGTGATTAAAAAAAGATGCATTTTTCAGCAGTTACCAGCAGCTGCAGTTTGTCTGAAGTCACCCCTCTGTGCTTTTCCCAGAGGCCTGCTTCTCTCGCAGCCAGTATGATGCAATGCTCTAAGCTGAACATATAAAAATTCAGGCTTTCAGAGCAGAAAAATCTCCTTGGTAGTAAAACCCCCTTGATTTTATCGCAAGCACAGATACAGGCTGGGCAATGAGTGGATTGAGAGCAGCCCTGCAGAGAAGGACTTGGGGATACTGGTGGATGAAAAACTGAGTATGAGCTGGCAATGTGCATTTGCAGCCCAGAAAGCCAACTGTATCCTGGGCTGCATCAAAAGAAGTGTGGCCAGCAGGTCGAGGGAGGGGATTCTGCCCCTGTACTCTGCTCTGATGAGACCCTCATCTGGAGTACTGTGTTCAGATCTGGGGCCCCCAAATTAAGAATGACATGGACCTGCTCAAGCGGGTCCAGAGCAGGGCCATGAAGATGATCAGGGGACTGGAGCACCTCTCCTGTGAAGACAGGCTGAGAGAGTTGGGGTTGTTCAGCCTGGAGAAGAGAAGGCTCTGGGGAGACCTTATAGCAGCCTTCCAGTACCTAAAGGGGGCCTACAGGAAAGATGGGGAGGGACTCTTTATCAGGGAGTGTAGTGACAGGATGAGGGGTAATGGCTTTAAACTGTAGATTTAGATGAGATATTAGGAAGAAATTCTTTACTGTGCGGGTGGTCAGGCACTGGAACAGGTTGCCCAGATTGGTGGTGGCTGCCCCATCCCTGGCAGTGTTCAAGGCCAGGTTGGATGGGGCTTTGAGCAACCTGGTCCAGTGGCAGATGTCGCTGCCCATGGCAGGGGGGTTGCAACTAGGGGATCTTTAAGGTCCCTTCCAACCCAAACCATTCTGTAATTCTATGATTTTGAGTTACGTGAAGGTCCCTTCTGTTGGCAGGTTGGCTTCAGCCTTCTTTTAACCACTTGTCTCCATTCAGTGGAAGGGGCTGTCATTTCAGTGGACTCCTCGCTTATGTGGAGCTTTGCTCCTGCCTTGTTTCCTTCTGTTCATAAGAGCCAGTTGGGGGAATCTTAATTTGTTCAGAGGCATTTCCTCTTTCAGGGCATGATTTTCATTCAGAGGATTTCTAGGTGAGAACAAAGGTGGAACTAAGATGTGTACGGGATACTTGGGGGAAG